CCTGGACAGCTGTGAGGTGGCAAAGATTTTGCAGAGTGCAAAGGGATGAGATGTGTTCTTGGGTTGTAAATTAGTCTCTTTTAAAGTTCCTCCAGAGATTCAATTAAAGAATAGCTTTCTTTCCTGTTTTTCATTTCTTTTTAAATTTTGAAAATTACTTTTTGCCAGACTGTGCTTCTTTGTTAACAAGTCAGTACTGTATTAGATCAGGAAATTGCCCCAGACTTCTTTAGTGTTGCCTATATAATAAATATTCAGAGTTTGGTGTGTATATACCATGGTTTTCTACTATTTGCAAAGAGAGGGAGGGAGGGAGGGAGGGAGGGAGGGAGGGAGGCAGGGAGGGGCGGGAGGTTAAAGAATGAGAATGAATTCATCTCGTTTTAGACTTTGTTTTCTGCCATGATGGATGCCTTTTCAATGTACAACCAGCCACCTATGAACTACCTGCTGATGGTTAAGAAAACACAAGCAAAGGGATCCAAATCCCAAGGGGTGAGATCAACATGTAGCAAATCAGTATTAATTGGTGTTGAAGTAGAGGCAGAGACAAGTCAGAATGTTCTCACAGAGGAACCAACTGGCTCTGCTTACATGGACTGGGAAGATATAGTTATTTATTTATTTGCTTACTGTTGTGACACAAAAGTGAAGGAAGGAAGGGTTTATTTTGGCTGGCATTTGGAGGGACAGTCCGTCCCGGTGGGGACAGAAGCAGGCAGCAGTTGGTCACATTGAGTTTATACAGGAAGCTGAAAGAGGTGAGGGCTGGTGTTCAGCTCACTTACTTTTCCTTTTTAATTCAGTTTGGGACCCCAGTCCATAGAATGGTGCTCCCCCATTCTGGGTGGGCCTTCCTTCCTTAATTAAACCTCTCTGGAAACAGACATATCCAGAAGTGTGTCTCCTAGCTGATTCTAAAGCTAGTCAAGTTGACAATGAAAGTTAACCATCACAGACAGCTTTGGAGAAAGTCTGTCTTGAAGGATAACTAGGGGCTTTCCGGAATTCAGAATGGGGGGAAAGACAAAGGCATGTCTGATGACAGGAATAGTATGTGTCAAGGTGCAGAGGAAGGAAAGGCAGGTTCCATCACTAACCTGCTGGGAAGGTAAACGTGGAGGTGCAAGAGACAGAGAGACTAGAGTGTAGATGGGGGACATCATGGCAGGTCTTGTATGCTATGCAAAGGAGTTTAGGTTTGCATCTTATAGGAAACAAAGAGAGCAGAAAGGGAGATCGATAATGGGGCAGTGACATTATCAACTTCATTTTGGAACTATAATTCTGGTGAGGATGGCTCAGGAGAGTGACCGGCAGAAGTACAAAGTAGGGAATGTTGCAGTGACATGGGGGCGAGAGAGGAACATCTTGGATAAAGGGATCATGTGAGGTAGCGCGAGCTCTGAGGAACTTTGTAAGTCAGACTGAGCTAGCAAAGATAACAGGTTCTGAGGATGTCCCATTACTGCTGTGTACAATTGCTTTATATGCTTCATTAAATAGAGTGGAGACTATAGAATGAGGAATGGGTTTTAGATGAAAGTACCGCATATAACTCAGGGGGGAGGGCGATACATAAGAACTGCAAAGAACATCAAGTTCTAATGCTCAAAAATACAGGCGAGACATCAGGCTAAAATGATATCCCCTTTGTCCTCATCAGCCTCCGCTACAAAATAGATACAAAAAATATAACAAGGGATTAATCCCTGCAAACAGGGACGGTGATGAAAGTTTGAATATTTTTTCGGATTTTTCCCTTCAAGTTGTAAGATAGGCTTGTATCTAGTTACTGATGACAGAACATTTCATGTAAGGTAAAATGCTATTGCTTTTCCTAAGAAATAAACGCTTCGTAGTCTTAGTGTCAGGGCTTACCATGTTTGTGTTTGAGTTCTACACTGGATTAACCTTTTCTCCTGGCCAATCTACAATACCCACACTTTACTTTTGTCTCCTGAAAAGAAGCTATTTAGAACTAGTTGAAAGCAATGAGGTCAATGACAGGAAGGGAAAGATCTTAAAAATCTAGTTTGTAGCTTTGAAGAGTTTGTTTGGCATCTCTTGGAGATGGTCAGATTAACCCTACTGTGAGTTTTATGACCACAGATGGAAGAATGAATTAGAAGGCAGCAGGACAAATTCCTAGTGATTTATTGTTCGAAAGAGATTTTTCTTACATAAGCTTAAATGTAAGTACCAGCCACTTTCTATTGGTGGGAGGGAAGGAAGGAGGGGGAGAGAAAGAAAAAGAGAGAGAGATTAAAAGTAAAGGTCTATTTGAATCCATGGCTATTGCTAGATTCCACTGGTCTAAAAATGGCCCAAGTCTTATTTCTATAGTCTTTCCAAACTTTAAAAACATGTTTTTCATTTTTCTTAGCATCTCATATATTTAAGTTTACATTTAAAAGCTTCTGGTAACCTTGGCACCAGAATTCCCGATTTGGTGGTAACTCATATGTCACTGCATCTCTGCCCAGTCCTCATCCAACATTGCACTTGTTTTTGCTAATAGTTCAAAGGTAGTTCTTCAGTTTTAATCAGAAAAAAATTTATAATCTTCAGATGTTAGAAAGTTGATATCAGGGTCCTATATAAAAGTGGGGAAACCATAGTGGAAGGGTTAGACAATGAGAGAGATAAATAATAAAAAAAAAAAAAAAAAAAAAAAAAAAAAAGGGGAACCTGGGACTGTCTTAGAACATTTCACTGGGATTAAATTCTGTACTTGCCAGGATATTGTGCTATGGTACCCAAGGTATGTTAGAAAGCTCACTTAAAAAGTAAACCTGCATAGCTCTAGATTTCTAACATTTCCTGTCACTTTCCTTGCTGGAGGATGAAGGCAAGACAGGATTTTAAAGCAGAGTTGAGAATTATCTTTATTTACTTATTTATTTATTTATTATTTATTTGTGTATTTAGACAGGGTCTCACTACTAGCCCAGGCTAGCCTTGAGCTCAAGGTGATCCTCCTGTCTTAGCCTACCAAGTACTAAGAATACAGGTGTGAGCCACCATACCTGGATCTTACAGCATTGCCTGGGTTCTGGAACAAAGACCGTCTTACCGGCAGCTTGTGTTTCATATGTAGCTTCCATGAAAGGCCCCGTTAATCACAGAGGAGAATGACTCATGAATTAGATAAACTGCTACCAAGAGCATCAGGGTTCAGCTGTGAGCATAACCGGGCTGGGGGGCAGGGGGGACGGGACACAAACACTGGTCTTGGTTTGACTATGACTGTCCAAGCCATTTGTCAATGCTGAGCTTCAATCTCCTCTAAAATAATAACAGCTATTATGTGGTGAATATTTCCTATGTTCCCAGAATTATTATTAGCATCTTATGCCCAGTTTTATTCAGTCAGATTTTCACCATGAGATATGAGCATAATCATCTCTAATTTGCAATTGGGGAAACCAAGGCACACAGATATTAAATAATTTCCCTGAGTTCACAGTCAGGAGTAACAGCTCAGATTTAGACTCTGATGGACAGCTAACGTGCAGGTGTTATCCTTTATCCATGACAGCATCCTACCTTCTAAAATGAATGGAGGGACGCAAGGCCTGTCAATGTCTGCTTACAAAGTGTGTGTGTGGGGGGGGTGCGCACACGCTGGGCTGGGAGGCTAAGTTATTCAGAACAGAACCACCTCACTCCCTTCTGGAACTATCTTCTGGAACCATCTTCACTGTTAGGCCTGCTGCAGCACTGCAGGACTTGGCTTAGCTCCCATAACCCAGAAGAACACCTAAGGGGCCGTTATTTTCTAAGCATATGGGTTAAGTAAAATCTCAGTGGTAGTGAGACCCTGAAGCAATGAAGCTTCAGGAAGGCTGGCCACATAGGAATATTGTGCAGTAGGACACAGCAAGCTGCAAGCTTCTGAAGTGGGGATGGGACAGAAATCAGAAGGAACAGTTGAGGCTGGTCCTGGACCAGAGCCTGGCAGAGGGCTGTTGATCCAATAAAAACAGCAGCTGCAGTTCTAAAGGAGAAGGTAGCTGAGGTGCTGAGATGGGAACCCACTGAGGCAGTCGGTGGATGGTGTTGGGAGCCAAGGGCTGGAATGGGAAAGGGAAGGAAGACACAAACAGTACTGGGTAGTCTTGCAACAGAGGGGTTCAGGGGATTAGAGTCAAATTACCCTGGGAGCTCAGCAGCAGACAAAGCCATTCCTGGAAGCCCTGAAATGGAAGGAAAGGGAAACAAGAAAGCCTTGCTCCCCAGCAACTAAGAGAGAAGGAAGTGGGAGATGAGCTGCTTCCTGTAGCAAGAGCGATTATTGAAGACAAAGCTGGGTGGGGACTTGTCCCTGGGCTGCAGTCGCTGCCGCGCACACACACACACACACACACAGCAGCAGACAAAGCCATTCCTGGAAGCCCTGAAATGGAAGGAAAGGGAAACAAGAAAGCCTTGCTCCCCAGCAACTAAGAGAGAAGGAAGTGGGAGATGAGCTGCTTCCTGTAGCAAGAGCGATTATTGAAGACAAAGCTGGGTGGGGACTTGTCCCTGGGCTGCAGTCGCTGCCGCGCACACACACACACACACACACAGAGTCAGTCAGTCTCTCTCTCTCTCTCTCAATTGGCCAGAGTTGGAGGTGTAGTTCAGCAGTAGAGCATTCGTCTAGCATGTATGAAGGCTGGAGTCCAAACCTCAGCACCAAGAGAAAGAAACAGAAAGCTTATCACTCTATCAATGCCCCACTGTCTTAATAACTGTCACATTGATAACTCATTTTAGAGCAAACTTTAAACCCTAAATTCTGGACTATGAGTCCTCCAACTTCGGTCTTTTTAAAAAAAATATTCTTACTATTGCAGTTTGTTTGTTTTGTATATGTACATAGGTCAAAAGTAGACTTTGCTATACTTGATAAAAATTGAACCATTCCGTCTCTCTCTGTCTCTCTGTCTCTCTCTCTCTGTCTCTCTCTCTGTCTCTCTCTGTCTTTCTCTCTCCTCTCTCTCCTCTCTCTCCTCTCTCTCCTCTCTGTCGCTGCCGCCGTGCTCTGTGGGCAACTCCTACTACCGCTGGGCTGGGCTGGGCTGGGCTGCGCCGGGCGGGCGGAGCTCGCCACCCATCGGCTCCTGCAGAGGAAGCTGCTCTCCGACCAAGCCTCGGGAGCCAAGCAAGGTAAGGGACACGTTTTCCGTGTTGCTCCTTCTGAAGTGGGATGAAATCACCAGCGCCTGTGGATTTTAGGGAGGATTTCTAAGGGAAGCCAGGGACACAGCCTCAGGATTGGGGGAAGTGATCGAGATAGGATCTTTTAGAAGGGCTTTTGGTACTGATGGTCAGGTTTGTGACACATTTCGTTTGGGAGGGGAAAAAAAAAAAAACAAAAACCCTCCTCGGTGTTTAGCTTTGGTGACGCGACCAGGAAAACACGCTAAATGTAAGAAGTGGTTTGTACGGCTCGCTCGCTCCCTTGCTCAGAGCCAAGCAGGGCTGGGTTGCCATCCTTGGGCTGCAGTCTGGTCATCTGAGCTTTGCAGTCCCTTGTTTGGGGGTGTAAGTGGTGGGAAATGTGAAGCACATTTTCTTTCATATTTCGTTCGGCTGACTTCGGCTTTGCAGATAATGGCTGTGATTTGCCTCTGATGGGGTTCAGATCCTTTTGTACACAGATTTTTACTAACAAAGGCTGGAGCGGCGTGTGTGAGAGTCGGTATTTACCATTAGGGAACGGGTGTCTTCCTCTTTCCTCTCTTGGCTCTGTACAACTGCTTGGGATAACCTCCGAGAGAGAGAGAGAGAGAGAGAGAGAGAGAGAGAGAGAGAGAGAGAGGTCTTACCCTAAAGTTGCATCTTTGTTCAAAGGAGTGTGGCTAGACTAGGGTCTATAACGTGCCCAGCATAGGATGTTGCTGTATGAATGGATTTAATGTTTGTATGGATTTTATTCGTCTCTAGGTCAAAGCAGATATTAACCCCGGGCAGAGAGGAAATAAAAGTGAACTGAGTTATTTTCTTACCTGTGTATGCTATAGACAGAACTGGTACATTGTGAATGTGGCTTTTTATTCTGAAGTCTTCCTGAGCGATGGATGCTGATAAGAGTCCGGGATGGTAAGTCGTTCATATTTATGAGCGATGTACGTAAAAGTGCAATAGAGAGGTCTAACCGATGGAAACCGAGATCGTGACTTTCCTTTAGCAGAATATGTAAGGGAGTTGAATACCCTACGGTGGCTTGATTTTTAAAAATCTCTAAAAGAAAGTGAAGCTAAGCAATAAATGAGCATTGATTAAAAGGAATTTGGGGTTTTTTCTTTTCTAATGAAAGGAGATAATTTCTTAAAACAAAGAAAGAACAGCTTGCAAGAGAATGAACACAGTACAATGGCATATTTGAACACTCATGAATTATTAATATACAAGTTTTTTTAAAAACAACTAAATGTGCCTATTAAGAATGTATAGACCTTCTGGGTGGATCACCACCATCAGTTGTAAAGAGCTGTAGGACTGGAGATTTTGGTTTGGTTTGATTTGATCATCTTTATGACATTAATTTAGCTTCTTGGAATTTGTGGACTAGCAGTACATTTTCCAAGACAGGAAACCTTGAAGGGTTCTAAAGAAATAATTTCTATTTCCTACTTTTCATTAAAACACACCCACAGCATGTCTAAGAGTTACTGCTGCTGAATCCACAGAGCTCTTTGGAAGGATTTGTTAAATTTGATCAAAGCTACAGGAAAAGCAGCAATTTCAGGATTCCCAGGGTCCACTTTCCACAAAATAAAATATATACCAATAATCTTCCTAGATGGGCATCCTAGGCTAGAATTTAGAGTCCTGTGACCAGGCTGTACATCATTAAATTAAATAGGAAGTTGGGCATCTGGTCTGCATGAAAGGCCAGGGCTTTCCTTCCGGATCGATTCATCTACAAGCTGTGTTCCTTAGATACTGCCAACACCCTGCTTTGTTTGGGGATGTCTAGAAAATGTGTGTTACTCCTCTGTGTGTGTGTTTCTCACAGGAATAAGACGATGAAACCTTGGCCAATAGGCATAGTCGAGTTAAGTGGCCCCCAGCTATCTTTCTGAAAACAACTAAGAGGTACCTATTTTCTGCACTTCACATTTCCTTAATTGTTAAATTCCAGCTCGATGAAGATGTTAGTAACAACAGATCAGTAGGGATGAGGATAGAATATTTAAGAAAAAGAAGAATATGCCACTATTCTGGCCATATGGGATATGAAAAGAGATAACAGCTTTTCAAACAGTCAAACAACACTGAAATTTTAATTGTATAGTTAGTTCTCTTCTTCTTCTTTTGCTGTATGGCCAGTGGTTGAATGGAAACATGACTCTATTATGTCACGGCCAGCCCTGGGTCTCGTGTGGTGGGTACGTAGTGGTGCATTTGGTCGAATGACTTTTTTAGTCTACTTAAAAAGGCAAGCCAACTTTTAAATCTAAAAGATCTATACAGCCAAAGCAGAAAACCTGTTCATAAAAGACCAGTGTGGGGAGAAGAAAAGAACAGAGTGGAGAGAAGACAACACAGGCTTCTGAGGCAGGAATTTCTGCCTTTGAATCCTGCCACTGGCTCTTACTACTTGACCTAGTACAGCCATCTGTGAACCTCGGTTTCTTCATTGTGAAGGGGCAGCAGAACATAACCAGGGTTCTGTTTGGCTTGCTCTTTGCTTTGTGTGTAGATATGTGAGTGCTTGGTACACATAGGATGCTCCAGTGTCATTTTTTTCTTCCACGATGGCATAAGCAAAAGTTAGCTTAGTACTGATCTTTGCTACTATCTCTGAGAGTGGAGGGGGTTTTATTATGAAAAATAATTTTAATCACGTTAATCATTTTAAGCGTGCAGTTCTGTGATAATACGTAAGTCACATTGTTGTGCTACTTCGTCATCATCATCCACCCACTGAATTATGTTAATCTTGTAAAATAGAAACTCCGTGCCTGTTGAACGACTCCCACTTTCCCTTATATCCCAGGCCTTAGAAACACCATTCCACTTTGTCTCTATGAATTTGACTAAGGACATGATAAAAATGGAATCACACAATATTCTGTGGCTGGCTTAATTCATTTTCTACATGGTTTTCAAGATCCAATCATGCATGTTGTAGAATGTGTCAGACTTTTCTTCCTTTTTAAGCTGAATAATATTCCAGTTACATGTATATATCACATGTTATTTATCCAGCCTTCTTCTGATGAATACTTGCACCATGTTTTGGCTGTTGCAAATAATCCTGCTGTGAATACTGGTGTATAGCTGTCCCTGATTTCTGTGTTTACATTTTTGAGGAATCACTGTCTTGTTTTTTATAGGACCTGTGCAAGTTTACATTCCCACCAGCAGTGCATGACAGTTCCAGTTCATCTGGAATACCTCTTATTGACTCTTTTTTGCTTATTTGTTTTTTACTGTTGCCATCCTGGGGTGGGAAATGGATGTGCGTTTTCCTGGTTATGACCCACAGTACCGAAAATACCCCAACCTCATTTGCTAATTGGTCACTGGTCTATATTCTTTGGAGAAATGTCCGTTCAAGTCCTTTCTGATTTTGATTAGATCATTCTTGAAGAGACGTTTTTTAAAAGGCAGGTAGCCCCAGCCCACCTGGAACTCACTACATAAACGGACTGGCCTCAATCTCACAGACCTCCACCTGCCTTTTCCTCCTGAGTGCTGGGATTAAAGGCGTGCACCACACCTGGTGCGTGAAGAGTCATTTTCAAATGAGCTCTCTTACCATAATAGCATTAGATTATTATAGTATTTTAGTCGCATGAGTGACCATGATAGTCAAGGACCAGAATTCCCCACCCCCATGAGAATCACGGGAGGGATGTTGCTTCAGTGACTTCCTGGTCCTCACTCTTTAACTTTAGTAAAGTTACTCAGGCTTTGAAAAAAATATGCTATGGGTTGCAGAGTCAGGGAAAGAGAAGAACTGAAGTATCAAATTGTCCATGAACCCTATACAATAGGAAGTGTTCACGTTTCTAAGACAAGTTTCTACTAATGAAATATGATTCTAATCCAAATTTCTCTTCTCAAAACAAAGAACCTTTCTGTTTCATTTTCTCTAACAGATTCTATTTCTAATCCTGAAACTAGTGAGGCCACATGGGGATGGGGTGGAGGAGAGTTGGGCACAAGGACTAGAGAGGACTGGTAAACAGCACCAGTGCCTGAGCTGGATGGTGTGAGTGTGGACAGTGACCTTTCAGGCTTTGAAGAAGTCCTGATTGGCTTAATTAGCTTCTTATAGTGTGCTGTGGGCAGATGTGTTTGGGCTGGGCATGCAGTGGTCCTTGTTTTCATTTAATTTGTCAGTCTTTTCACCCTGCCATTTCTGGGAGAAGCGAAGGGAATTGCTTTTCTAGACCTAGATAGGAGAGGAGAGATACAGAGCTGCTTTAAGACTTTGTTCCTAAAGTGATAGATATGCTAATTAGCCTTATCAGATCATCCTATAGTACATATTTGGAAATAACACATTGTATTCCACAAACATATTCAATTATTGTCAACTAAAAGTAAAACTTACAAAGAGACTTAGTCTCTAGCGTAGAACATCACAGAATGGTAGAACTCAAAAAGACCCAGAGTGACCTCGCTGTATCAGTCCCTCCATGATGAGTAGTGAAACAGCCCTGGAACTTATAATCACACCATTGATTAATACCTCATCTCCCAATTCTAGCTGCATTTCTCTTCCCTTTATCTAAGGGCAAATGAACAGAGAAAGTCTATATACCTTGTCACTTAAAATTTACAGGCGTGGCGGCTCCAGTTTGTAATCCCAGTGCTGGGGAGTCATAGGCAGGTGGATCCCTAAGACTTGAAGGGAAATATAGCTATATAGGTGAGCCTCCAGTTCCAGTCTAAAGTCTAAAGCATTTTATTTAAAAGCAGGATGATGTTTAAATTAATATTCGTCTATTATTTTTCTTCTTTAGTTATTTGTGTTTTTTTGCATGTGGTAAGGAAAGAACCCCAGGTCTTGCAAATGCTAGGCAAAAGTGCTTTACCACTAAGCTGTGTTTAAATTATGCTTAAATTTAATATATTGTGTACACACTGTGTTTCTCAGTCCAAATTTATTTCAGTGTAAAGATGAAAGAGAGAGGTTCAAATTTCAG